CAATATACATGAAATAAAGTAAAATACGTAGTAAGGAGTGTTCAGATAGTTAGACAGTGAAATATTTATTTGAAAAGGGGTGAGGAAAAATAAACGAACAAAGAGCACGGAAAATAATGATACATAAAATCGTTTGTTAAGGCTAATTCGGCCAAGGAAGAGATGAGGGTGTAACAAATTACTTATGAACACAAAGACCTAGATTGTTGCCTCGAATCCCCACAGCTTCTGCTGACTGGAAGAGAAGAGATCGAACTCCATAAGGAAACGCTATGGGTAAATGATGAATTGCATTAAAAGATCTATTTTCATGTAATACATGACTGCTAACCATCACGTTTGACAGAATGGAGCTGCGTATTGTTTTGATCGCACTCTTTGCCAGCCACGTTGGAAGGTGTTCACTAATTTGTTGTCTGGTTGTACGACTGACTTATCTTCCTCCACAGTAAAAGCTGAACTCGTGGATGCAAATAGATGTAGCAAATTTCAGTAAACTTTCCTTTAGTTGAAGAATCATCAGAGGTTGACTAGAAAACAATAGACAGAAGTTAACTGTGTTTAAAGTCTTTTCTATTACGTTAGTCATTCTATTTTCTGGTACATTGGTGACTATATCTACGTTGAATTGTTACTTCAAGAAGAGAGATTTCTTATTAACCGTCGATTTCATTACTTTTCTGCCCGTTATAAGCAAATGCTTCCTCAAAAAACCTTGTAGATAACCCATTCGACTAACATATTATGAATGACCTCTAACTCCTTATTTTCTGTGTCAGCTGAGCGGATCTTCTTAGCTCTACTTGCTGAACATTTAACTAGGTTTTTCTTGTAATGAACCGGTGAAAAGCTCAATAAACTTCTGTGTTGGCCTGTTAAAGAACTTTTACTATACGCACTAATGCTGGATAATCCTTTTATTTTCTGTTCTATAAAGCGTCAGAGAATTGTAATTTAAAACACAAAGTATATGAAAGAAGAATATTCTTTTCAATAACTTCTCATCAGGTTCTACAATTATATCATATCCAAATTAATAATCTATAAAATTGGCCAGATTTAAGGCAGAGTAGGTCAGTTCTAATTGTAATATGTGAATCAAGAGTTGTTTGTGATGCAAAATCAAATCAAACCGTTAATGTTGGGGCTGACTAATATGAAGTGTTAAATCAGTTTATAAGTGAAATGAAATTGTGCGGTAAATAATCAGAATAAATATGGTCAACATGGGGTGAGAAAGAGAATAATGGAATAAAAATCAGAAACTACGTGATATGTATAATAATATGAATTAGGTAAAATATAGTAGATAGAGGTGGATGCTGAATAAATTTCTCAAAAAGGTTGTCAAGTGTAATAATAATAATAATAATAATGACAATAATGGTAACTGTAGGAAGCAATTTCCCACAGATTCATCTCTAAGCTAATCTCTAGACTGTCGAGTACAGAGTCTTGGTTTAGCCAAAGTCAGAACAAGCAAGCTATTTGGCTAGATAAACTTTATCTTTTTCTAAAACATAAATTAACATCGTTAGTGTACAAACAAACAGTACGGTCTATCAATACAGGAAAAAACAGAGACAAATAACATACCGAACAGTAGCCAGAGAATAGGAAAAATGAGTCAACAAGCCAATATTGTTTTACAATGAACATTAAACTGTGATTGGTTAATAAAGAGATACAGTCGTACAAGGTCAAAAGGAGTTGATGTGGTGGTGGGCGTTTCCCTTATTATTGGTGGGTTCGTCTATCAATCACATTTTACAGTAACGATAGTAATAATAATAGTAAAGATAACAATAATAAGTTTAGGACATAAAAATGAACATTAATCACATTACGTCACCACGTTAACTAGTTGGCCAGGGTAAAAGGAGCGGCTGAACATATTTCTTTTGGATGCAAAGCTCTTGCTTTTTGATCCGAATAGCAATTACTTCAGCCGTCTGTAAGATTCTCAGCTTGACGGAATTAGGTAGACTGCTGTCAACACGATATATTATTGCGAAAGATTGCTTCATGTTGGCTGTATGTCCTGTCTGAATTAAATGGGCTAAAAAGAAGCTGTTAACCGTTTTGACTACACCTTTACTTAACCACACTGGGAGGTGCTCACGAGCCCGAATATATAAATTCCTAGAACATCTGCCGATATAGCTTGCTCCACAAGAGCAGTTGAATTGATAGATACAGTAAGAGGTGGCTAGTCTAGCCAATTTATCTTCCAACCTCAGAGTGATCATTGGACGTGTGGAAAACATTAACTGTAGTTTACCTGCATTGAAAGTTCTTCGGATTGATCTGAGTAACTATGATGATTAGGAGTATTTGAATTATAGTACGAACTAGGAATCCCAGAAATAACGTGATCGGATCAAGAAGTACTAGATAAGCACGAACGAACGTACAGTATTTGGAATTCGAAATCAAGCATTTAACAAGTACAAAAGAATTATTAGTTCATTCAAACATCACAGTAACTTCAGTCTTTGCATCTCGCTAGGTGCATTGCTTCTGAATTGTAAGCGTATATACAGAGGCTTTTTATTCACGATTAGACATTCTCTATGCTCTCTTTTATTGGCTATGTTTTTATTTATAAATTTCTCAGGATATCCATTTTCTTTCAGGGTCGTGTATAATGCTTTTGTTTCATCTTCGACCGTATATAACGAGCATATGATCTTCATTCAACGATACAGTGTCATATCACGTTCTTTTTGTATTGCAGAGGAACGAATTATAATACATTGCTCCCTTACATACTGAACTCGAGAATGACTGCAGGACATATGAAGATGAAAACAAAAGCCTCTATGAATCCCTTATGATCAGTAATGCAAACGAGGCAGTCGCTCATAATCCGTCCAGCGATGCGGGAATGTCCAGTTCAGAATCATGCCCTGTTGTGGGTTCAAATCTCACTGTTCCTGAAACGTGTACAGACAGTGATGTACCCAGCTCACAGGAAGATCTCTTATTAAATGCTCATAAATTAATTACAGTGCCCTCTCACAAGGAAACAGGAAACAAATCGTGCAGTATACTGAGTCTACTTGCTCCAAACGGTCCTCATCAGTCAACAACAGGAGATTTTGATGAATCTTATTATCTAGATCCTCTTGTACCAGAAAATGTGTTAGATGCCACAAATGATGATCAGAAGTTTAATACAATTTTGATAGATGTTAATTATCCCAGTGATCAACTATCCACAAATGAGAATTTCAAGGAATTCTATGGTAATGTTCCAGAAGAATCGAACGTTGATGACCTCATATCAAGCGACGTTGGTCCACACTTTTAGTGACAATTGTGTTAAATAAAGTCAAATTAATTTTAACTTGGGGAAATGAGGACCCAACATTATTTCGTGGGGGAGGATGAACGCAGAAAATTTTAAAATCCAGATATTAATTCCGGATCTTTCAAAAAAAGGGGAGGTGTTAGGTAGTCGGAAAAATAGACCAATAATTATCATGTTCAGTCCAATGGTGTCCTTGGACCTTAAATGTACATTTCCCATTCGTCGATATTTATTTAACGTGTTATTTTCCTGTTGGCCAATATTGTACAATGTTATTTTCTACTTTGTGGTACGTTGTGGTCTGCTTGACTAGTATATAAACAAAGTATGTTTGAAATATAATGATTCATAACCCAGAGGCTGTGAATTTTGTTCTTGACTCAACTGGCTAGGACAGACAGCGGAGCAGTGCACTAGGTCGTCCTTACGTGTTTACGTGTCACTGTCATTGTAATCGATCGATGAATAAACGCTGCGTATCAAATCCTGCAGTCACACCCGTTACAACAATTGGCGACGGGGTAGAGAAAATTTTGAACCCTCTAATTGGACGAGATTCAGCATTATTATTTTGACTAATCAGTTTCCACATTTGTCATCGGCGTCCTTGAAATCATTGGTTGTTAAGTGATTACAGTATTTCTCATTACTCTGCTGATTCAGAAAATGACTATCTCTCCCGATCAGTTGCAGCTACTACTAGATCGCCAGCAGCAGCGTTTCAGAGAAAGCTAGTTGAATGTTCGTTGCCCAAGGGAAACACCTTACTGCAATTTACAGCAAGTAGGAATAGATGAGCACAAAGAACGTATTATATTTGGAATTCGTAATCAGCTGGCCGTCAAGTACAAAGGAATCATTAGTTCGTACAAATACCTCATAATCTTAATAAACGATCAAGTTTTCAACAGTAAAGCATAATATTGGCATCTGTTTTTTAGGTTTGGTTGATTGTTTTGTGGATAAATTTAGACGATCTCAGCCTTAACACCTGACCAGTTTAAAACAGGGTGTTTTATGGGTACCGCTTTTGATGAAGATCAATTTTTGGTTGCCTAACTTATTGTAGTAATTATCCTTATACATTGCTGTTATTGTCAAAAGCTATGTATGTTGTAATGTGTAGCAGAGTTACCTTTTCTGAAGGTAAAATTCAAAACATTTGTGTTGCAAAGACCGGTTGATTTTATTCCGAACGGCATACCACCCTGATTAGCGTTTTCGTATCAAGCTTATCTTTCTAATTTACCATCGTTAGTGCCAGTGGTAGAGGAATTCAACGAACTAATACTATTTTTCTCAGCTATAGAGATCCGTAGTGCGCTTTTTTATTTTTATGCTGATCTAGAAACCGCTATGAATCCTACGTTTGTTGTTCAAGCTTTGTTTGAACAGTCTTTAATTAAAAGTTAGATTGGTGAAACCACTCACTTAGCCTTAGCCAAATCACTTTCGTGTAGTTTAAAATTGACTGGTTATGAATTACCGTTTTTCTACAAAGTATTTCAACAACCGGTGTTCCTCTAAACTACATTTTTCTCACTATTTGAACGATGTATTTGCTCATAGCTTATTCTTTCTTCACATCCATCTTTCCAGCTACTTGGCAACCTGTGGAGTTGACCGAAAACTAAAGATTTGGGACTTGAGGTCCACTTATGATCCTCTTTCCGAAATCTTGCTGCCTATGTCTGCTTCAACAATTAATTTCAGTCAGAAAGGTTTATTAGCATTGGGTGCTGCTAATACCGTACAGGTATGATATTTCTGGTTATGATTTAGTTTAGTACTTAACTTATCGCATCAAGTGGTTGTTTCTCCATATACCATACCATACTGCAAAATACCTACTTTCATTGTTTTCATTCGTTTGTCATGGTTATACTCTTGGGGATAACAATTTCTTCTGATCGCTCTCTTGCCTAGAACCTTGTATGAAGACGTCTCCTTGTCTGGTAAAAACTAACGAAATATAATCTGAACAAAGCACTGTGTGACAGTACAGGAGTTTGTAGGTTGCGATCTTCCCCTTCCAAAAATTAGGGTCGCATCTGGATTATACGGTATCATTTCCCAGTCAAACAGAAGAGAGTAAGCAAGTAGTGGGCATTGAACACCACACACGTCTACCTTTTGTTACTTCGAAGTTATAAAACTTGTGTAGGTTGTAATTATTTGGTCATACATGTCTTAGAATCATTGCTCACGTAAACCGGAACCATGTAGGAGCAAACCGCCCATGAAATAATATCAGTCTATGAGGTTATGACTTTAGATCCTAACGTAGTCGGGATGTGCGGAGTCGTTAAGTAAAGTTCACGAGATAATTATGGCATGCAGTTGGAACTCTTTTGGGTATTGATGCAGGTACGTGGATTAAGCTTTTGTTTAAATCTCGGGCTCGTTTTTATTTTTAATTTCCTGAAGTTGTTCCTTTTGTCTATATGAAAGAGTGTATAAAACTGGAACTAATGGCTAACGACCGTATATCTAGTTTGTGATTGCCTGTTATTAAGCCGTGACAAAAGACAAAATATTTATTGTTACGATTAGATATGGCCAACGTAGTGCTTTGAAAAGAGGAATAAATCTACTGTTATAAAATTAAGTTATCCTTAGTAATATTTACCGTGAGTAGATGGTTGTGTTTTATTTTATTCCCCATTTCACATAAGCCCACGATGATTTCAGTATTGCCTGTGAGGAAGTATTATGATCTATAAAATAAGGATTTATCTTTGTGAATCTTAGGTAGTATATATGTATTTCTTTTGTCTAATTTCTGCGTGAATCGCTTTTTACTTTTAAAAGATTTTACGTGACCCCCATTCCATTCCACCGTCCAATGCATCAAAAATCTTTGAAACCATTTCACCTAATGTTAACCGACGAGTAATTTCGAATGCTTATCTTTCTCACTATGCGGTTCATCCAGTTTATCGTGTACGCTTTTGTCCTTATGAAGACGTTTTAGGAGTAGGTAGTTCCGCTGGGATTTCATCCATTCTTTGCCCTGGGAGTGCCGAACCTAATTATGATGGTTTAGAAGAAAATCCTTTTGCCAATAAACGTTATAGGCAAGAAAGAGAAGTTAAACGACTTTTGGATAAGGTAATATTGTTCACGTGTTTTCATATCTACTTGTTAGTTTCGTTAATAGTTCTATGTTTTTCTCAAGTATATTCTTCATTGATGTGTGTTCATAAACTTTGTTTCAATGTAATTTCTTAATATTAAAAACTGGTTTTGGAATTTTAATTCAGTTAGACTTTAGTTGTAAATATGTTCGGTTCCATTGAATTAAATAAATTCTGTGAATACATACTTACCAACACAAAGCAATGTTATCAAAGGGTTACGAGCAACTTGAGAGTATTCATTAGTTGAAAATCCACAGGATTACCTTATCAACCATCTGCCGAAGAAACCTACTAAATCTAAAATTCTTTCTGGTAAGATATTCAGAATCTGCCAAATATGAAATAGTACTTAGATTCCAGAAGAATTAGTGAGGTATCACTAATTCAACGACCACCTATTTCGTCTTCTACCAGGAGATTGAACTTCATCGAGTACTATTGTTTACTAAATCTACCAACGTTAGTAGGACATAAGCGTATTTTATGATTGTTCTAGTAAATTATAGTCCTATTATATTTTACTGACCCCTAAAGTGTCCTACTAAAGAAAAACACAAGGAGGTAAAATTCTTCGACTTAATTATTCTACACTAATATCATTTATATAAGCTTTCTTATTCCTATCATTTCTTTTTTAATTCAATTGTGTGTAAATTGCTAATGAATGTGTTCATGTGTAATAAAGATATGTTACCATAAAATTCAAAAAAGAAGTGATTGCATATCGGAATATCGAAAACAAGCATTGAAATAATAGTGATGATAGTAAATGTAGGGATTACCAAGTAAAAATTCTTTACATTTCGTGTAAGGAATTTAGTTACTGTAAACCGATGCAATACAAATAACTTAAAAGAATCCAAGGACTACTTAAAGGTCCTAATGATTTTTATATTTCCAAATTATTGATGATTGGTTTATTCTGGGTATATCGCTATCTAATCATAGATAAGACTAATATGCTTCTACTTGTTTTTTTTGGTACCTTACAATCTAATCCGTATTGTTGTGGAAGCTATTATCATATTAAATCAAAAACTGGTTTCAATTATGAGGTTAATATCCGTAGAGTAATTAGATTTATAGACTAACTTTAATAGAATAAATATTTCTGAGTAAGTTTGGTAGGAATTTTCACAACATGTTGATACCAATCGGACTGTTTACATACTCCACAAGTAGGCACAGGTTTGGGAACTACTATTTAATATCTAGATATTACATAAAAAACGTTTTTATTTTATTTGAGCGCATAAACATTGGCACAAAGGGACACCAAAATATAAACGCACCACAATAAAAATTAGATTGTGTTGAGTTATAAAAAAGGAAGGTGAATGTAATGGAAAAAAATGAAAATGAATAGAAATTAGTGTACGAAAGTGAATTAATAATAATAATAATAATAATAATAATAATAATAATAAGGGGAGAAGCAGTTCAGTTAAAAGAAGTATAACCAGGTAGGATTCTTTCGGTTATAGAAGTTCCCCTCACTTGGAGGGAATAAAAGAAAATTACAGCAGGACTACCACTAGCTTCTGTTCTAAGTAATATTTGATAATATCTCAAACCACTTGTCGCACTATATGACCTCAATTAGGGAGTCTTGAAGAACCGACAGATATCAGTCCTTTACAGCTTTCTTTCATACTACTGACTACCTCTGCTCTTTTTCTAACCAGTTTCAGCGTCGGCATATAATGCCTGACGTGTAATTCACTGGGGCGACATTTTTAGTACATGTTCAAGGCACCGAAGTTGATGTTTCAAAATGGTGACGTCAATCGAATGATCATCAACTTAATTCCAACTAATGACATCTTATCGTAACACTACACCAATCCCTATAAATAGTCAATAAAAGTTTTTTTAAGCAGGATAGTATCTTAATCAGTAAAACAATCATTGATTATAACTTTTCACAGACTCACATGTGTTTCACCTAATAGAATCATTAAAAAACTACTTACTGTACTATTACAAACAGATCCCATATACAATGATTTCATTAAAATCAATCGTTGGTGAAGTTCGTCGTGAAGACCTTTTAGAAGAATGGGAAAAAAAGAAAGCTGTATTAGTAAGTTAATCTGCTTTATTTTAATTGCTTTTATTTATTTATTTGATCGAAAATGTTTCTTTGGTAACTAAAAAAGTAGATAGCAATTTTCACTTTTGTAGATTTTAGCTTTCAATTATGATGGTAAATTATCAGTTATATTAGTTATAATATGTTTTTATTGTTTCTGTCCTAATTTACTGCTTTCCCAGCTGACGTTGTGCACTGTGATAAGTGGCGATTACGCTTGTTTAACATGTTTCCCACCCACTTTAATCGATAAAGGCTTACACCTAGTATTCTACACTGACTATCGGCATCATTTATTCAATGGTTTCACCATAATTAAACAACGCTTTAGCGACATTTGACAGTCAACTCATTTCTCCTACTTTTAAAGTCAATTTATCACAAGAATAACGAATTACAGAGTGAATTGTCATCTAGCAGTCTCCATTCAATAAGCAAGTGTTTATCTTGCTGTTGACACAAATAAATTAAATAATGGACACCCAAATTGTAGTGGGAGAAATCAATTCAGCATGGACATGTATCAGTTGTCCATGTTCATAGTCCTTTTGCTGTCAGACATACTGAAGTTTGTAATCGTTGGTTTCTAGTAATCAAATTCGAAGTTATTTTAAAATCCAACTGGTTGAAGAAGCGTTAGAATTTACTAGTTTATAATAAAAGTTGTATGCCTATTATCATTTTCACTTCCATAAAAACTTATCCGGCTTCTTGATCACGATCATTATAATTCACTGATATATGTAATCTTTTACTGTCAATTTTAGCTTGGACAAGTTCCCAAAGTCGATACACCTGCTATTAAACGAAATAAACAAAAAGGTAGATCAAAACCTGGTCGAATCGAGGCAAAAAAGCAAAATATACACTTTGAACGTAAAATGTTTACTATCAAAGAAGTTTTAGGTGTACGGGAAGCGGAAGAGAAGTTACGACGAAAAGTTTCTTACAAAAAAATCAATGATATAAGCACATTACCGAGACCTAGTGAAGCTTTAGTAACAAAAAAGAAATTATCGAAAAGACGCACAAACACTGCTCTTGATGTGTTGATTCCACCAAAAGAATTTTAATTTTTAAATCTTAATTTCTTTATCGTTCTCTAACTAACTGTTTGTCTTCAAGTTCTTTTCTTAAATTTTCCACTAAACTTTTTAAAATCAACGAATCTACATTGCTTTATGTATAATTGTCAATGGTTGACAATTGTATTACTGTAATTTATTGAAATCATAATGTACAGTTTACATTTGATACAAATAAAAAAAGTATTAAGAGGTTATATATGTGTGTGTTGTCAATGTACCTCATTATCAGAATTTTATCAGCTTCCACAACGTCAGTTATATTTAGTTCTTTTTTCTTGTTGGGGCCGATACCTAGTTGAATCTCAGTTAGTATCAGTTCCATCATTTGTCCATGCCAATCTAGTACTAACACAATGCTCTTAAGAATGAACTTAGTTCTTTGTATCACTTTAAAACCTTCGGATTTAATGGAAATGTTATTACTAGAACCTCTCAAACTGGTTCTAGATCTCATGCTTAAGTCAAACCTCATATACTACTATTTAACGTTTGCAACTCACACGCTTATGTCACACGACATCCAGAGGTGACGCACATTCGTGGTGTTTTTAACTACATTTCTAATCAAATTATTTTTTGATGTGAAAAATATTAAGACAGGTTTTGGTAGAATTTGTTTGATTTATAAAGAGACTTGTTAAGTCACCGAAACACACAGGATCCTAGTGTGTTCATTCTAATTAAAACGAAAAGCCGACAAGATATACACTCCGTTTATCTGGCGACTGGGCAGCAAGTTCTCGTGCACTGGCGGGTAAAGGCATAGCACTAAGTATGAGGTCAGAAGAAGCCCTTTTAGAATGGATCCCTATCGACAGTCGCCTATGTGCTGTTCGGCTAAACAGATCCGCAAGAGTTCAGAAGGATAGGGATACACGTCGAGATGGCAGTGAGCAGGACTTACATGTCGGTAGCTGTATACGCGAGGCCATGTGAGAGCACTTCGAGAGAGAGGATTCTTCCCACCATTGACCGTACCAGGGTATTTGGGGCTTTGAATTCAAAGCAAACTTCTCAGTAGAATTTTCGTCATGGACTGAATTTAGCTGACAAGCTGTTGAAAATCCTGAAGCGCAAGATTACTGCTTGTTCTTAGCACTGATATGTTCGGAACACACATCCTTGATACTGCCAATGGTGGAATTTAAAGAGTTGACTCTTGACTAGCGAGAACTCACGACTATTAAAATTCAATACTGTTGGATATGTGGCAGTTACGCACTAGTGTTATTGGGAAGAGTTTGGGTTGGAGTTAAACATACGAATTAGTGATTGCCAAGACAATGGTCTTATTTTCAAGCTTTTACTGTGAGATTTCAGATCCATGTGTTTGATCTCGTGCAAAGTTCAAATTGTGAGTCGCTGAGATGTCTAATTTTAGGACGAAACAACTTTCCACTCCTTCCTGATTTTCAGCTGTTATTTAAACAAGGTATTCCCGTCAAGCAAACTATAAAATTCAACAATTTCTACAAATCCCATAAACCCACTTAGACTGCTGAGTTGGAAGCCTACATCCTTAAATGTTGTCGATTTATAACCAAAACCAAAACCATCCATCGTTATTGATCAATCTTCCTCAGATTAGATATGCTTTAACTCCATCACTTGGAACTTCTCATCAAAATTATAGAATGTTGTCTCTAATTCAGTCACTTACGGAAATATGATTATTATGTTCTATTTAATTTTGCTGAACATTATAATTTCGGAACTACAGAAGAACTTAATTGTTCCCAACAAAACTCAAATCATGCTTTAATGAAGTAAATCCTGATTATGTTATCGAGAAAGACAATGAAAGCTTCGCGTTTAAACCATTCAGCTCGGAGAAGAAAATACCTACAGATAAACTCATTCCATTTACTCTGATAAAGTCCTTTTCACTCTACTATCTATATACCACTGGTGAATTTGTGAATTTTATTGAGATAATTTAAAAATTCGCAACTTGACCAGACAATTGTATTGAGATTTTTAAAAAATCATCCCGTACTGAACGTTCAACTCTGCCTGTAGCTCTTCTAAAGTTACTGTCGGTCCAAACGCCCGGATAAAGCAGGAGTTTTGGATGGGGTTAGCGACCCCATCCCGTAGAAAGCTAGCTCTCTAAAGAAACGCTAACCAAAAAACATAATTGAAACCACTTAAACTCAACCCTGGGAGTCAGAAGGTCTTCATTTAGAACAACTATGACGCCTCATGGTGAAAGCCGAGTTCCTTCGGAAGTCACGAGGCCGATGCGACTTCTAACAACCAGATCAACCATTTATTTAGGTACATGGAACGTCCAGACAATGTGGGAGACCGGGAAGACCAGTCAAATAGCAACGGAAATGAGAAGATACGAATTGGCAGTACTGGGAATCAGCGATACCCATTGAACCCAAGCTGGTTAGCAAAGGCTAGATACGGGAAAGGCGCTGCTATACTTCGGTCACGAATAGGAAAATGCTCCACACACTCAGGGAGTTGTTCTAATGCTGTAGGATGGGAATCTCACGGATCCAGAATCATCAAAGTGTCATTGAAAACAAAGAAGGAGGGAATTACAATGAATGTTATCCACTGTTATGCACCCACCAATGATAGCAATGACGAGGACAAAGATCAGTTTTACCTCACCATTCTGATGGGAGGTCTAAACGCCAAAGTCGGAATAGACAACACTGGATATGAAGATATCATGGGACGACATGGACTGGTAGAGCGAAACGAAAATGGGGAAAGATTTGCAAATCTATGTGCATCCAACAAATTGGTCATAGGCGGCACAATATTTCCACACAAATGTATACACAAAGCTACATGGATCTCATCGGACCGCACCACAGAGAACCAGATAGATCATATTTGTATCAATAAAAAGTTCCGAAGAACAATGGAAGATGTGAGAAGCAGGAGAGGAGCTTACATAGCTTCAGATCACCACCTTGTTGTGGCCAATTTAAAACTGAAGCTAAAGAAGAACTGGACAAACAGCACTGCAAAAGTTCAATACAGCCTTCTAACAGCCTACTAATAGATTCAAGATAGCTTTCAACAACAGGTTCCAAGCCTTACAGGATCTACTGAAGGAAGAAGAAACTGCCATAAAGGACAACTGGAAAGGTTTCAAAGAAGCATTTACTTCAACGTGTCAAGAGGTTCTGGGCCTCAAGAAGCATCATCATGAGGAATGGATCTCTATAGAAACACTGGACAGGATCAAAGAAAAGAAGAACAAGAAGACAGCAATTAACAACAGCCGAACACAAGCAGAAAAAATCCAAGCACAAACTGAGTACATATAAGCAAACAAGCAAGTGAGGAAGAGCATTAAAACCGACAAACAGAAATACGTGGAAGAAGTAGCAACGACGGCGGAGAAAGCTGCAACAAAAGGAAATATGAAACAGCTTTATGATACAACGAAGAAACTAGCAGGGAAATATAGTAAACCAGAGAGACCGGTCAAGGACAAAGAAGCCAAGCCAATCACTGAAATTCAAGACCAGCGGTAAAGATGGGTAGAGTACTTCGAGGAACTCCTGAATAGGCCGGCTTCAATGAATCCACCGGACATCGTAGCACCACACACAGATCTTCCTATAGATGTCAATCCACCAACGATGGAAGAAATCAGAATGGCCATCAGAAAAATCAAGAGCGGGAAAGCAGCAGGACCCGACAATATACCAGCTGAAGCACTAAAGTCAGACATCGAAGTAACTACAAAGATGCTTCACCTTCTATTCAAGAAGATTTGAGAGGAGGAACAAGTGCCGATTGACTGAAAAGAAGGACACCTCATCAAAATTTCAAAGAAAGGAGATCCGAGCAAATGTGAAAACTACAGAGGCATCACATTACTGTCAGTACCAGGGAAATCCTTTAACACAGTGTTACTGAACCGGATGAAAGACGCAGTAGACGCCCAACTTCAAGATCAACAAGCTGGATTCCGTAAGGATCGGTCGTGCACAGACCGAATTGCGACACTGCGGATCATCGTCGAACAATCAGTTGAGTGGAACTCGTCACTATACATCAACTTCATCGATTATGAAAAGGCGTTTGATATCGTGGATAGGAGAACATTATGGAAACTTCTCCGACATTATGGAGTTCCTGAGAAGATTGTCAGCATTATTCGGAACTCATACAACGGACTACAGTGCAAAGTCGTGCATGGAGAACAGCTGACAGATGCATTCCAATTAAGGACCGGAATAAGACAAGGTTGTCTACTCTCGCCGTTCCTCTTTCTTCTAGTGGTCGACTGGATTATGAAGACCTCGAGACCTGAGGGACAACACGGCTTACAATGGAAAGCTCAGGACCAATTAGACGATTTGGACTTCACAGATGACCTAGCCCACCTATCCCATACACACGAACAAATGCAGTTGAAGACAGCCAGTGTAGCAGCAGTCTCTGCATCAGTAGGCCCCAACATACACAAGGGGAAAACCGAGGTCCTCAAATACAACACGGGGAACACCAATGCAATCATACCTGATGGCGAAACTCTGGAAGATGTAGAATCGTCCACGTACCTGGGAAGCATCATCGATGGACTAGGAGAATCAGATGCAGACATAAAGACGAGGATTGGCAAAGCAAGGGCCACATTCCTACAATTGAAGAACATTTGGAACTCAAGACAACTTTCAACCAATATCAAGGTGAGAATCTTCAATACGAACGTCAAGGCAGTTCCACTGTACGGAGTTGAAAGTTGGAGAACTGCTGCAACCATCATCAAGAATTTACAGGTATTTATAAATAGTTGTCTACGCAAGATACTCAACATCCATTGGCTGGATACCATCAGCAACAGCCTCCTGTGGGAGTGAACAAGCCAGCTTCCAGCTGAAGAGTAAATTAGGAGAAGACGATGGACACTCGTTGAGGAAATCATCAAACTGCATCACGAGACTCGGAATCGTGAAAGGAAGCGGAAAAGAGGAAGGTCAAAGAACATATTGCGTCGGGAACTAGAA